TAATACTGTTTTGTATATTTGAAAGTTGCTAAAAAAGTAAATCTTAAAAGTTCTTATTATAAAAAGAAAAATCTATGTGTATGGTTATGAATGTTAACTAAACTTACTGTAGTGATCATTTCACGATGTTTACAAATATTGAATCATCTTGTACATCCAAAACTAAAGTCATATGTCAATTTTATCTCCATAAAAAGGCTGAACAACCAAAAAGAAATGGATAAATGGAAACATATCACCTACCAACTCTGAATGAGAAAAACTAGAAAATCTGAACATATCAATTAAGGTTAAGGAGATTGAATCGGTAGTCAAAAACCGCCCAACAGAGAAAATCCCAGAACCAGATGGTTTCACTGGTGAATTATACCAAACACTTAAAGAATAATTAATGCCAATCCTTTTCAAATTCTTCCAAAAAACTGAAGAGAATGGAATACTCCCAAACTCATTTTAGGAGGCCAGCACTACCCCAATGCTAAAGCCAGATAAAGACACTAAAAGAAAATTACAGGCCAATAACCCTGATGAAGAATATAGATGTAAAGACTCTCCCCCCCCCCAAAAAAAATACCATCAAATCGATTTCAACAGCACATTAAAAGAATCATACACCGTGATCAAGTGGGATTCATCTCTGGGATTCAAGGATAGCTCACAATACACAAAACAATAAATGTGATACACCACATTAATAAAGATAAAAATCATATGATCATCTCGATTCACACAGAAAAAACATTTGACAAAATTCAATATCCATTCATGATCAAAACTGCCAACAAACTAGACAGAGTAGGCACATACCTCAACATAATAAAGGCCACATATGACAAACGCCATCATACTCAATAGTGAAATGCTGAAAAGCTTTTCCTCCAAATTATAAGACAAGGATGCCCACTCTCACCATGCCTATTCAACATAATAATGGAAGTCCTGGCTAGAGAAATCAAGAAAGAAAAAGTTGTAAAAGGCATCCAAATTGGAAAGGAAAAAGTAAAATTGTTTGTGAATTACTTTATCTTACAAACAAAATCCTAAATATGCCACCAAAAACTATTAAAACTAATAAATAATTCAGTAGTTTCTGGATACAAAAATCAATATAGAAAAATCCATTGCATTTTTATACACTAACAACAAACTAGGTGAAAAAGAAACAATCTCATTTACAATTGCATCAAAAACAGTAAAATACTTAGGGATAAATTTAACAAAGGAGGTGAAAGATCTATACACTGAAAATTGTAAGGCAGTGATGAAGAAAACTGAAAAAGACACAAGTAAATGGAAAGATATCCCATGTTCATATCTTGGAAGAATTAATAGTGTTAAAACATCCATACTGCCCAAAGCAACCTATACATTCACTGCAATCCCCATCAAGTTTCCAAAGGCATTTTTTACAAAAGTAGAAAAAACGATCCTAAATTTCACATGGAACCACAAAACACGCCAAAGAGCCAAAGCAATCCTGAGACAGAACAAAGCTGGAGGCATCACAATTCTTGATTTCAAACTTTACTATAAAGCTTTAGTAACCCAAACAGTATGGTACTAGCATAAAAAGACACATAGACCAATGCTTAAGATCAAGAGCCCAAAAATAAACCCATGCATATACAGTCAACTAATATGTGACAAGACATCCAAGAATACTCAATAGGTAAAAAAGAGTCTCTTCATTAAATGGTGCTGGGAAACTAGATATTCACATGCAAAAGAATGAAAATGGACCCCTATCTTACACCACTCACAAAAATTAACTCAAAATGGATTAAAGACATAAATGTATGACCTGAAACCATAAAACTCCTAGAAGAAAACACAGGTAGTAAGCTCCCTGACCTAGGTCTTGGCAATGATTTTTGGATATGACATGAAAAGCACAAACTACAAAAGCAAAACTAAACAAGTGGGACTAGTCAAACTAAAAAGTTTCTGCACGACAAAAGAAACAACAAAATGAAAAGGACAACCTACAGAATGGGAGAAATATTTGCAAGCCTTAACTGATAAAGAGTTACTATCCAAAATACATAAGGAACTCACACAACTCAATAGCAAAAAATAAATAAATCCTATTTAAAAATGGGCAAAGGACCTAAATATATTTACGCAAAGATATTCAAAGGATAGATGACAGATACGTGATAAAGTGCTCATCACCACTTATCAGGGAGATGCAAATCAAAACATATCACATTATATCACTTCACATCTGTTAGAATGGCTATTATCAAAAAGAGAACAGGTGCTGGCAAGAATGTGGGGAAAGGAACCCTTATGCACGGTTGGTGGGAATGTAAATTGGTGCAGCCACTATGGAAAAGAGCATGGAGTTTCCTCAAAAAAGTTAAAATAGAACTACCATATGAATCTGCAATTCCACATGTGGGTTTATATCCAAAGGAAATGAAAATGCTATCTGACAAGGTAGGTAGATATGAGCCAGAAGGAGAGGGGAAATGAAGGGTTAACGAGGCCCCAAGACTGCCCAGTAGAATATACACAACAGGATATCGTAATTAAACACATATCCAAACTAGATAGACAGGCAGGTACCTGGTGGCGCCTGGTGCCTTGATAGCTTTCCCTCAGTCAGTTAATGGCAGATGACCATTATATGACAATACTCTGAGGGCGCTCAACTGGTATGGGCAAAGTTGGCTAACTGAGCACGTGCCTACTCTCAAAGTCCGCCGCGCAGATGTACGACTCCCATCTGCAGACTCACACTGCACATGCCCAGGGCAGAAGTAGGGCGATTCAGAGGGAGGAGCTGGAAATCCACACCATTCCAGATAGGAGGGAGAAAAGGAGAAGAAACTGATCCATAAGAACTCAGAACCCCAATTTCTCAGCACGCTTGATTTTTATCAAGCTGCCTGCCTGGACTATTTTCCAAGTGTACTTTACTTTGCTTGCATTACTCAATAAAATCACTTCGGTTTGCTACTTTTTGTCAGAGTGTCAGACGGCCACATAAACCTTTTGTGAGAGATCCAAGGACCAAGCTCCTGACTCCCACAATGCAGACACCTGATTGCCAGTAACATATCTTAGAGATATCTGAATCCCCATGTTCAGTGCAGCATTATTTACAATAGCCATGGAAACAACCTAAGTGTCCATCAATGGATGAAGACAATGGGATACATAAATGTATAAAATATATATACATACACACACACACAACTGCACATTATTCAGCCATTAAAAAGGAAATCCTTGTCTAGGCCATGCCACCCTGAACCCGCCCAATCTCATCTGATCTCAGAAGCTAAGTAGGGTCGGGCCTGGTTAATACTTAGATGGGAGATCGCCTAGGAATACCGAGTGCTGTAGGCATTAAAAAAAAAAAAGGAAATCCTGCCATTTGCATCAACATAAATGAACCTTGAAGGCATTATGCTAAGTGAAATAAGTCAGAGAAACCACAAATACTGTATGATCTCATTTATATATATAATGTAGAAAAACCAAACTCACAGAAAGAGAGAGAGTAGACTGGTGGTTGCAAGAGTTGGGGGGCAGGGTCATGAAGGTGGTCAAAGGATACAAAGGGTATAAACTTCCAGTTATATGATGAATAAGTTCTGAGGATGTGATGTACGGCATGGTGGCTATGGTTAAGAACAATGTACTGTATATTTGAAAGTTGATAAGAAAGTAAACCTTAAAAGTTCTCAATATACATAAAAACACTATGTGAAGTGATGGGTGTGTTAACTAACCTTATTGTGATAATCATCTCACAATATAAACATATCAAATCATCGTGTTGTAGAACTTAAACTCATACAATAAGTCAATTACAACTCAATAAAGCTGGGAAAAATTAAATTAAAAAAAAAAAAGACCAGAGTGTTCCCTCCTCCCCAGTGGGTCCCCCTTGCCATCTTTGAGACTCACTGAGAAAGCACAGGGTGTCCAGGGGTAAGGACAAGCCCTATTCAGCTTGCCCTCTGGCTGCTGCCTGGGAGTGGCTGGCTCTTATCCTGCAAAGGAGCTGGTTGCTGCTATGAGCTAAGTGAGATGGAAGGGACGCAAGGCCATGAGCTTCCCTCTGGGCCCTCAGACCCCTATCTTGTGGGGAGAGGGGCAAAGTGGGTGTAAGGAGCCAGACCCTGCTGTAATCTAGCTAGCAGCAGCCATAGAAGGAGCAACTAATGGCACACTCCCAGCCAGAAGGCTCCAAGGCAGGAATGGGACTACTTTTGATCCTGGCTGAACACTGCCCTGGGCTCTGCCTGGCTCAAGCAAGCAAGGTGGCCTCTAAGAGGCCCAAGGCCAGTTTACAGGGTGGCTCTCTCTCTAATCCAAATTCTCAAGAAAGGAGCTGACTGATTCCTGGGCTAAGGCCCAATCTTTAAGACAGCATAATCCTCTAGAACCAGATCTCTCCCTCCTCCTCTTCCTTTTCTCCTTTGTCTTCACATTCATGATTATTTCAACAAGTATTTATTAAACATAGATTGTCTACCCTGACAGATGCTAGGTACCATGGGAGAAATTTATTCAACAAGTACAATGTTCCAGACAGTGATCTAGGCCTGAAACAAAACCAATCAATCTCTGACCAAGAGACCTGAAGAGTGTTGTCCTTGAACTGTCTCCCTTCTCTGCTCTTGGCAGCAGCTCCAGGAATTTTTAGTACTCAAAGGTGCCTGGCAGACAAAAGTCCAGGTGAAAGCAAAGAGCTATAAGTACTGGGAGAAAAGGAAACCCCCAGCTTGTCCCATAAGGAACTCCACCTGTGGTAAGGGTGTGTCTGGAACTACCAACACCAGTTCAGGAGCCAGTTAAGTGCCTGTTTCAGAGCAGTTATAAAAATACCTGCTGAATGAATGAATGATGAATCAAAAAAATCTGCCCCAAGGCTGCTTCCAGCCCTACCTGTCCCCTGAGGCCCCTGTTACCTTTCCAGCCCAGTTTGATGTTCCACTCATAGAAGAAAATCAGCTTCCCTTTGCCATTGCTGTAGAAAGCCTCACCTTCCAACTGCTTCAGCTCACTGATCTGGCAGTGACCAGCCTCACTCTCTACAACGATGCCCACCAGGAACTCACAGAACTTCCCCTTGGACCAGCTGGCGGCATCCCGCTCCGTCCTGCCAGGGGCCAGAAGGGCAGAGTCATGAATGGAAGCCCCAAGTGGTACCACACGCCCAGCCTGGGTCTCAGGGTAATGCCTGGGCCCAGCATGCATAAGCGTGATCCCTCTCAAGGGGCTTAGAGAGACCTGCCACCCTCAAACTTACAAACATGCTTCTCAAATCAACTTTCTACCAAATATCTTTTAATCCTCCTACTCGGTTCCTTAAGACATTATTAACTACTAAGTAAAGTAGTATTTTGTCTTAAAAACATCACCTTATTTGGGAGAAGAGAGGCCTAGCAATCTGACCGATTGGCAAAAGATGAGCAAAGGCCTGGACCCTATGAAAAAGTAGTAATAACTGAAATAATTCTAATCATAAAACAAATTATCAAGTGTGTTCATACATATTTCATGCAATCTCCCCAAATAATGTTCCTATTTGGGGGAGTGGAAATGAGCTGAGAGAAGTCCATGATGTGTCTATGGTGACAGGGATAGGAAAGGGGAGGTCAGCTTCTCTGAGCCCCAGGCCAGGGCTCTCCCAATAAATAATCCCTTCTCAGACTGAGGGCTTTGCTCTGCCCTGGACTTGCCTCAGCATCATCTTAATGGCCTTGAGGTACCATAATCCTCAAAGGAGCTGGGCAAAGAGCATCACTTCCTGAGG